TGTATAAAGCTAAATTTCTGTCATTATTATTACATCTAGATCCAAACCTAAGACTAGAGAGATGGAAATAACAGGTCGAACATTATCGTTAGATCTAGATGTACTAGCGACTTAATCTAGGAACTGTAATCTAGAACCACTAATTAGTTATCCTGTATTTAAGTTTTCTTTCACGCCATCTGCTGACAACATTTCCATCAGGTCCATCATCCTTATTCAATAATTTAAATTTACTTTTTTTTCACATTTAATTATCTCAATAGATTCACGTATATTCATACCAATTACATTTCCAGGTTGTGCTAAAATAACATTTTTTTACCACTCTTAATCTTGTACAGTAAGTTATTATTTCAGTAATTTGGAGACTGGAAACAGTTTCATTTTTATTGAATTGTGTATAAAATAATCGTCGTTTAAAAAAATTTTTTTTTTTTAGTTTTCAAAGCAAGTTATTCTAAACATACAAAATAAAGATATCTGAGATTGTGAGGTTGAAAGAAAAGTAAAGCAGAAAAATTTCTTATTTCAAAAGCTTCATCATTATAGTTTTGTGATTAATGTCTGAAATAGTTCCATCTTTAAAATGCAGACAACCAAATAGAACAAGCTGCACTTTTCCTCATGTTTTTCATTGCATATAATAATGGAAGTAATTTCTATACAAACAGTATGTATATGAACATTAATAAACACTTTAAAATACCTCAAGAAATTTGTAGAGATGGCTACAATTCCTTCAGGACACTGTTCTGAAGAAAATCCAGAAGCATACTCCAACGTTTCATAAGATAAAGGAGTAAGATGGAAACGATTTTGGTAATAATAACTCAACCACGATCGACTAGACATAGCTAAAACCTGAAATACAAATAAAACACATTTTAAACTTGCCTATAAACATTACCTTTATGGATAATTAAACACTTATTAATTAACAAGCACAAGGCACTGAAAGAAAACACTATGAAAGAGATTTATTGTATTTCCAGCCAGAATGTAAATTGGCTATAGCAAGCTTAAAAACCATCATTAGCAACCTGTGGCTTGAAATAATTGAGCAAATTATAGCCTGGCTAAACTTTTGTATCTTGGTTGACAAGTACACAAGAACATTTGCACACTGGCAGTAATCTTCATTTGGGAAATAAAACTACGCTTAGCCAGAAATTTATATTTTTAGGTTACAATTCAAACTTTAAGCTGATGAATATTCCTGAGATAACTAACAATTTATTTGAATTTAAATATTGCAGAAAAACTTCTTATAGCATAACAAATAAAAACAAATTACATCCAGAAATATTCTGTTATGCTTGTTAAAACTTTCCAAAAAATCAATTTGAATAGTTTATCTTAATTTCAAAATTAACTTCAGACATCTTTCTTCATTCCATTTCTTTCCAAGTTTATTGACAAATGTTAATTGTTTAGAAGTAATCTTGTCACGAACTTTTCCAATTCTATGTACAGGTGGATTATATTACTCACACTAACAATAATTTATTTTCCTTAAACTAGATTGTAACTACAAGAAGACACAAAATTCTTAGATACAAAGCAGGAAAATTACATAAACTCATGTCAATATTTATCATTCAGTAAAGTTTTCATGATATATTCACAGAGAGAGAAATGTTCAAGCATAACCCACCTAATTAGTTCCTTTAAAGCTACCATAACCTGGATTTCTTGTAACATTTAATATTGTAAAAAGTAAAAATATACACGTACTAATTAACTGAATAAAAAAAAAACATGAAGCTGACACGTGACTGGTTCAATGAGCAGTTCAAAAATACTTTATATGTATAAAAAAAACAGTACTTGTTAACTCTTTCATATACAATTTTAAAAGCTGCTAAGTTACAGATAAGAAATGAAAATAGTAAAGAAAAATTTCCTGTCCAACAAGCTACAAATGTATCAATCAATTTCGAATATAACAGAGAGTGTAGAAAAACCCTGGTAAAGTTTCTAGATTGTCCTCTTTATAGATTATTACTGCAGATATTTTAACCATCACAATGTTCTCATAGTTTTATTGTTACAGCAACAAAGAGTGTTGCCTTTAGCCTGTGGTCCTTTCCACCAGTAAACTAGGTATTAAATGAGCAATAGTTTTATAAATATTGCATGCTGTAACTAAACCAAGTACAAATAAAACAAAGTTACACAGCTATCTTTTCTTTTTCTTACATTTAGAAAATATTACATACAGTACATGCAAAATAAATTAAGTTGACAATACCTTTTTATGATGTAAACAAATGCATTTTACAGGTTACACTATTATGCTTGTATAACAACAGACAAAACAAATCTTTTTCTTTATAGTTGCCTAAAATTTTTTTAAAAATGTATTATAACTTCATGTATATTTAAGGATAATTAGACTAGTTTCTAAAGTATCTTATAAAGAAATTAATATTTTCTTAATTAAAATTCTGTCATTAATTACAAGAATACTTAAGAAAAAAAAAACTTTTCATGTGGTAGATATGACAAAATGTTTATTGTTTCAAAACCTTGCACCAAATTTTTCAGACCAGCAAACTATCTTGTTAGGTTTCATCATCTCTAAGTTATGCCTAACCAATGTAACCATAAATGTCAGATGGTCAAACTGGGAGACCATTAAGCATTGTAACATGCCAACTCAGTCTAAGCCTAAGTTAAGTAGAGGTACGTCTAGACAATAAAATGCTTACATAACCTTTTGCTTATTTCAAAGGTCCATGAATGAATACAGTTTAAACAAGTAATAAGTTTTGTCAATCCCTGACTGGTACCATGCCCACCTTAAACAGATTTGTTTGAGCTTTATAGCCTACAGGTAGATGCTACATACACATACTCATTTTACACTATAATCCAACAATGGATATTTTGAAATTGGCACCAAACTGTTGTCACAGAGTACATGTAACTGACTGTAGTATTGTTGGCTGCTTTATTAATTATGTACTAGTTATCAATCTTCATAGTGGTAATTTTTTTTTCAGTCTAAAGTTGTGTTTCATATGAAACCCAACATTGTATTATTTATGTTTTAAAATGCACATCATAGTTAGCTGAAGGGTTGTGCATGTCTCTCAAAGAAACTAATATACCTCGAGGGCATTGTTAACTTGTGTCAAGATAAATAAGTGGTAAAAAACAAGAATGAAAAATAAAACATTAAAAATTAACCATATGTAGAAAAGGAAAACACCTGAAATTATAAATATAAGCAAAACAACATCTTTAAAGATATTCTACAAAAAATTAAAAGGTATGAATTTTTTTATTTCCTAATTTTAATAATTTTATTGCATTGCACATTGATGATAATAGTTAGAGTTAATGATATGGAAAAGAAAATGAAAAATAAAATTAAACATTTACCTTACAAAAACTTTTGATATTCATTTAGGAGGTTCTAGAGCTTATGCAAATGAAATATGAAAACTATAAGATGAAGTATTTTAAAAACCTTGCACTCAAACAATTTTAACAGTCTGCTATAAATAAATAAAATTTTTATTAGAAAGACATAATTAGAATAATGTCATTCTTTGTGTACAAAATACTTATAAACTTTAACAAAATCTTACGAGGTTTTGCAAGGAACAAACAGAGTTACTGTATTTTTGTTGCATAAATGTCCTTTCCTAGTTGAGTGGATGGTAATTTCATGTGCCCATATTTAAAGTATTAAGGATTATGGATGCTAAAAGTACCCAACCTGTCATTTATGTTCTCAAAAAAAAAAATGTAGAGTTTGACTGACTACTTTTATAATTTGTTTTGCTCGTAAATTTTTGAAATCGGGTTGTGAAATACTTTTCAAGAAATAAAATACTTCCTATTATCTTATACTTCAAATATTTTATTGATGATACAAAAGTTCTACTTTATTCATCTAATCAGTTTTAACTTGTTTGATATTCATTAATATATCTCATTTTATTTTCCCAACTGAAGCAGCTGACTTCCCACTGCAAATCACACAAAACATGTCAAAACTGACAAACAACACTGACCACTCCTTTTCAAAAGCACATCACTGCTACCTTCATCAGATCTTTTGGCATTAATTTTGATGAAGAGGAATTTATACCTAATAGTTAATTTTTAATAAATAAAAAAATCATATTTGTGTGTTATATGAATACAATATCAATTTCAATAAAAAAAAGGACTTGAATCATTCAAATAGTTCACCATCACAGGTAAAGCTGACCATACTTGCTGGACCTCATACCTTGTGACAAATGACCATAAGAAAACATAAATATATTATTAAGAATGAAAGTTACATCATCAAAAACTATAAAAAACGTTATTGTTTCTAACTACTTAGAAAGTATCTTAAAACTCTCTTTAGGTTGTTTCGTATTGATTACACAAAATTTAAATTTTTCAAAAGTGTGATTAATGTCTACACATTACTGAAGAGCAATAAATATATCGTAATATCTTTTTTTTATGGTTATTTCCATTAAACCAAGTTTGTTTTTTTTTCAAAGTTACGAGTTACTCATATTTTTTAATATTGCCACTAGTGGTACAATAAATGCAAGTTCAACCAACAAATTCACAACTAGATAAACAGAAGGCAGAGAAACATAAAATACACATCAAACTAACCCTATTACTATGGATCACAGGTCAAAAGCCACGTAATATCGCATTTGTTGACTTGCATTCAAAATTTTATTAAACTACTATTTTATGAATGCATGTCAATAAGTTTGGTATCAAATTGTAGGTTATAATTAAAATTTTACTATGACCCATTAGTTAATTTCTTACTTTAAAAGTAAATATAAAAAAAAAAATCCTAAATATGGATTTTTTGTGTCACGTGGTATGTTGAATGCAGCTTTGATTCAGATTAGATGTTTGTGAAGTCCAAATACAAAGTCTATAGTTTCTTACGAATAAGGAACTCAAATTAACAATATTAACTAGAAGCTAGAATCTAAAATAAGAGCCTCCTCTCTCTTTTATTTGATAAGATATCACTACATTTACTGGATCAAACACAGTGGCCCCACCCACCTCTTTCCATTTTTCAAAACACTTCCTTACGTACACCTACTTCTGCTTACAACGTGTGAATAACCGATCAAAAACTCAGAATGTCCCCCACATGGTTCTCTGAGCCTTTGCAAAGTATTTACGTGGGAAACCCTTTCTTTTCATGGCAGATTACAAATGGTAAGTTAAGTCTTTAGTGAGCTTGAAATTTCATATTTTTTTAGACCCAAATACAGGTTACTTACTAGACTTGATAAATTA